ACACATGCAAAAGCACGTTCCCTTTTTGCAGGCATGGGTATATCCTGTTGCTCCTCAAATTTCTTTAAAGGCTCACAAATCCTATTCTAATAACTGATATTTGACATGTATTAAATCAGTAACACACTGCATTACTTTTAACGTTCAATGAATTTGTTAACGCACAGGTTTTTAAGAAATCACGTTTGACTACTTTCTCTCATACCCCATATCCTAACCATTAGCAAATCCTACAGACCTCACATGGGAATATATGCAGAATCTAACCACTGCTCGCCACATCTACCCCACATCCTAATCCCAGGTGTCACCATCTCATGCCTGGACCACTGCAAGCATCTTCTAAGTGGCCTCCCTGCTTCCAATTTTGCATCCCTACATCCAGAATGAGCCTTTTGAAACATAAAGCAGATCATATCAATCTTCTTCTCAGAATCTCCCAATGTTTTCACTTGAGATCATATTCAAAGCCCTTCTTCAAAGCTTTATGTGATTTGGACCCTATAACCCCTCTGATCTCACCCCCTCCTCTCTCTCTCCCTTCATATTCCTCACCTGCCACACTAGCCTCCCCATTAATCCTCACACGTGCTAAGCACACCTCCCCGAGGGACTATGAATATGTTTTTCATATTCATATTCCACCCTTGGAACTCACTTTTCCCAGGTGGCTGCAGAGCTCACGCCCTTGCATCTTGCATCTCCAAATGTCACTGTCCAAGAGGCTTCTCAACAGAGCAACACTCCAGCCCACTGTCATTCTCTGTACTCTTTTCCTGTTTTATATTCCTTTTCATACTTATCACTGCATATTATATTCTATTTTTTTTTAATTATATACTTCCCTACATATACATACACTAAAATATAAGTTATAAGCACCACGAGAACTGGGACTTCGTTTTTATTGAATGTTTTAGCCCCAGTGCCTAAAACAGGGCCCGGCACAGAGCAGGTACTCAATATGTTCTGAATAAATGGATGAATAAAAATAACTGTTTGAACTGGACATTTCATAAGCCATTTTTGTGTTGCATTACTTTGTTACTCACAATCCCATTCTGTGGCTGTGGAATATGGAATGTGTGGGAAAAGATGACATCCAGTGGGGAGAAACTGATATAGCAATTTTAGCTAAAACAAATGTAAATAAACTGATTCAATTTAAGAAGCTGGCATCTCCAAAGAGGGCCCGTTTTGGAATTAGCCCTATTCCAAACCTATGACTCTATCAAAATATACTAAACCTGATTCTCTAAAAGAAAAGGATCATATAATTATTAATTCTAAGTAAAAATAATATCTTCCCCCTCTCATCCGTGGTTCTTTGATAAAGAACTTGAGGGAGATAATGCGGTAGAAAATTAGACAACCTAATGGTTCATCCTGAGACAAATTTACAATTACCATTTTAAAAAATCTCCATTTCTATTATTATGAAATTAATGTCTGGCTATTAAAACATTCAATTTTTTCACCACATATTCCAGAAATGGAATATTTCCCCTTCCCTCTGCCCTCCCAGTTAACAGCACTGTATGAATCTATCTGAGTAAAAAAACGGATGGAATTCCCAAAGCTGACAATTTGCTCAAATAGGATTTTCAATGAATCTGGGGTAACACTGATTCATTATGTCTTTTAATCCTAAGACTCTTCTTGGATGTCACAATCAATAAAAGACTTCAGTTGCCAACATCCCTCGGTTGGTACTAATATAGGTATTAATATAAGTTCTACATGATGGAGTGAGAAGCCAATCAGGTGAAGCTGCTGCGGATTCTCTCCACAGGTTCCGTGAAGAAATAGCCAAGAGAGCCCACCTCCCAGGCCACTGGAAAGATCGCTTTAGGCTCAGAACCCCGGGAGGGTAAAGCTGTGCAAAGGGTACCAGAGGGAACGGGGCAGTGCAAAGGGACACACAGCCCCAGGGAGGAAACAGAGCCCAGCAGAGTGAGCAGCCTGAGGTCACAGGAACGCTGCGCATGGCATCTGGAGCAGGGTTTCTCCCTGTGTACGTCGGCAATAAGTGACCTCCACAACCCACCCTCCTGTCTCTATCTCTGCAAGAAGGTGCTGAAGTGAGCCTCCCGGAAGCAAACCAGTCAGAGTGTGAAGTGGAAAGGTTCTGCTCTGCACAGGCACTTGCATGGGCTGGACATGGTGTCCCACTGCATGAAGAAACCAATCCTGACTCTGCCATGGTCTGGCCCCTGACTTTCTCTCCAACTTCCCTGAACACACTGTCAGCTTGTTAGCGGTGCTCCAGCTTCTCAGGCCTTTGCTCCCGCCTCAGGACCTTTGCCCAGACTATTCTCTGCTTGGAGTGCTCTTAGCCAAGTCTTCCCACAGCGGCCTTGAGCACATCATTAACCTCCTCAGAGACCTTCTGAGAGTGAGAAGCCGATGCGTGAGGCCTGTAAACCACTGGAAAGGACTTTGGTTTTACCCTGCAGAAGATGTAAAGAGGCTGGAGGCATGTGACCAACATGATACGACTTAGGTTTGAAAACAGTCACTGTGGCTACTGAATTGAGAAAGATTATAGAGACAAAGCAAGGCCAGTTAGGAGCCAAGTGAAATAATCAGGCAAGAGATGGTGGCAGCTGGGACCCAGGTGGCAGATGGGGGAAGGTGGCAGGAAGTAGCTGGATTCGGGATCCATTCGGAAGAGAGGACAGGGTTTGCTGATGGAATGACAGGGAGGCAGGAAAGAGAAGATGTGTTGGAGGAGTGTATTTTCAGGGGAAGGTCAGGAGTTCCGTTATATACTTTTTAAGTTTGTTACGATTATTTGATACCCAACTGAGGGCACCAGGTAGCCATCAGGTAGACAGCTGGACATACCTGTCTAGAGTTCAGGGAAGAGGCCCCGCCTGCAGTTAAAGCAGTAGTCTTTGGCGTAAAGACATATTTAAAGCCATGAGATTTGATGGGACATTCAAGGGAGTGTGTGTAGATGGAGAAACACTCTGAGGACTGATCCTGGAGCCTCCAATGCTTGATGGTCAGGGTGAAAAGGAGAAACCACCCAAAGAGGCTGGGAAAAAGCAAACAGTAGAGATAGGAGGAAAGTCAGAAGACTGTGGCATCTTGCAGGCCAAGGGAAGGAAGTGTTCCGGAGGACAGGAAGTGATCAGTTCTATCAAAAGCTGCTGATACCCTCCTCTCTGCTTTGTCTTTTCTCCTTAGTACTCATCACTACCCAACAGAGTAAGTCATGAATATAGTGGAAGATGGGGGAGGTAAGGCAGCATGGAGAGCTTGTGTGAGTAGACGATCAGGTGAAATCCCAGTCATCTATATATAAAAGCCAGCCAACAGTTTCCAATATGGAGGAGAAAATTGCAGAATTCAGAAGTTATTTAGAAATGCGTAGGTATAAACAACCTAAATGTCCATTGACAGATATATGGATAAAGATGTACTACATATGTACAATGGAGTAGTACATATATACAATGGAATACTACTCAGCCATACAAAAGAATGAAATAATGCCATTTGCAGCAACATGGATGCACCTAGAGATTATCATACTAAGTGAAGTCAGAAAGAGAAAGACCAATACCATATGATAGCACTTAAATGTGGAATCTAAAATATGACACAAATGAACCTATCTATGAAACAGACTCACGGACATAAAGAACAGACTTGTGGTTGCCCAGGGAAAGCGGGTTGGGGGAGGGATGAATTGGTAGGTTAGGGTTAGCAGGTTTAAGCTATTATATATGGAATGAATAAACAACAAAGTCCTACTGTATAGCACAGAGAACTATATTCAATATCCTATGATAAACCATAATGGAAAGGAATATTTAAAAAAACAATATATATAAATGTATAACTGAATCACTTTGCTGTACAGCAGAAATTCACACAACATTGTAAATCAACTGTATTTCAATTAAAACAAAAGAAATGCGTAGCGAAGTAATGGAAGAAACAACTAAAAATGTTGGGATGGGACTCGTGGATGGGGAGTCGTCGGGTAGAAGAATACTATTTTTCTTTATAAGTCACACTTTAAAAATTAGACCTGTATCACTTTAATATAAAATTAAAAACAACTAGTCAGAAAAAAAAAAATGCATGAGCTAAATGCTTGGTTCCCAGCCTAAGGGCTATAAAATAACGGCCACAGGCCAGTAACTCCACATACTCAAGTAGTATTTACATACTGAGTAAGTAAGATCTTGGACCTTACGCGAACTGTATCTTTTAAGTGTAAACACTTCTTTTATCACTACAAATTGAAGCCATTCCTGAAACTCCAAAAATGTTTAATCATTGACAATTTTATCATTCAATTGACTCTAAAAGTATAAACACTATTCTATGATCATCCATATAATATTTATAAATTTAACTATAAATTTAATAGCTCCTCACTCTAATGACCTTTGTGAGAGTTGAATTAAAATTCTACACCATTCTTAAATTTATTAGAATGCCTCTGTAATAAGTTCTCAGAAGGCAGAGATGATGTTTTCTACATGGATGTAACTGTTTGCATGCCTTTCTTTCCAACAATTCAGAGTTCCTTGAAAAAAGAACACGTTCTAATAATCTTTGGATCTCTCTACTTTGGATCTCTCTACTCAGCACCTTTGTCAACAAAGGTGACAATAATAATTAACATTTCCTAAGTGCTTTCCCTGTGCTAGACACTGCTTTAAGAACTTTACATATATTTTCACTGAATTACTATTGTGGAAACAGTTCCTGGAAGTTGGTACTATTATTATTATAATTCTCAAGATGCATGTACAGTGAATGACAAAACCAGGATTAGAAGCCAATCTCTCGCCAGAGCCTTAGCTTTTAATGTTTATGTAGAATATTAATGTCTGTTGATAAAATCATTGAAATAATAAACTCACTGGCGATTTATTTTAACTAGTGTTATAAAATAAAAGCATGTTATTCATGGATAGTATTGATACAATAACTTTCCCCTATATATTCTTGAAACGTTGTTGATTTGATAATCTCACCTTTTTCTTTTTTTTCCGGATCATCTGTTTTCTTATTTGTTTCTGAAAAGACAAAGCAAAATAAGTACTGTGAGAGTCATGATTCAATATCTCAAATTACAGGACTATCTTTAAATGAATTCAAATAAATATCGTTTAAGAACAATATTTCTGGGATTAAGAGATACACACTCCTGTATATAAAACAGATAAACAACAAGAACCTACTGTACAGCACAGGGAATTATATTCAATATCTTGTAATAACCTACAATGGAAAAGAATCTGAAAAATTATATATATATATATGACTGAAGCACTTTGTTGTACACCTGAAACTAACATGACATTGTAACTTAATTACACTTCAATTTAAAAAAAAAGAAAAATATTTCTGGTCAAACAATTCCGTTTTCCTAAATCCTGAATTCTTTACACATGCAATTTGTTATAAAATATTAAAAATCTGAATAACTTATAAAAGTCACTGAGCAGTAAGTCGGTATTGGGCACCAGGCTGAATGTTCCTGGTCTATAAGCGGGGGGGGGGCTGGGTCAACTCCACCAACAGTATGCCCCTGTGGGTGCAAACTGGGTCAGGAGAAGCCCTCCTCAAGGCCTGTCCAATATTTTTATTGTCTCCTAAAGCCATATACTACTTTATAATAGGCACTGTGTGCTTTAAGGAATGCAGCATGCCACCCTACTGAGAACACTAGCCTCATTCCTCAAGGACTTCATACATCCACAGGTGACCCACTGGGGATGCCCACACTGAGCCCAGGTGTGCTATAGCTCACCTGCTGAGGAGAGGCTGTATCAGCCTCTCACTAAGTTCATCACAGCTAGTGTCTCTCCACCAACGGATGGGGCTGCCGAGCACAGCGAAACCCACCAAGAACCTGGACAGGCCAAAGAACATCCACCACAGACAGGGAACAACAGCACATGACCTGACTGTGTAAACAAGCTAATTTCTGCATTTATAACCTCCTATCTGGCCTTTTGTTTAGTACAGATTAGGATCTAGTTAATTTTCAAGGTAGACCAGTTAATTTCTGTCCCAGTAGGTACTTAACTAGTCTTTGAGAATTCCTAGTAATGATGTGTATGCGTGAGTTCCAGTGGGGATGGGGCGGAGTTTGGGAGATTGATTAAAAAAATCATAGATTCCAGGGACTTCCCTGGTGGCGCAGTGGTTAAGAATCCACCTGCCAATGCAGGGGACACAGGTTCGAGCCCTTGTCCAGGAAGATCCCACATGCCGCGGAGCAACTAAGCCCGTGCGCCACAACTACCGAGCCTGCGCTCTAGAGCCCACAAGCCACAACTACTGAGCCCGCGTGCCACAACTACTGAAGCCCGCGCGCCTAGAGTCCGTGCTCCACAACAAGAGAAGCCACCGCAATAAGAAGCCCATGCACCGCAACGAAGAGTAGCCCCCACTCGCCGCAACCAGAGAAAGCCCGTGTGCAGCAACGAAGACCCAAAGCAGCCAAAAATAAATAAACTAATTTTTTAAAAGTCATAGATTCCATCCTTTCCCCAGAGTAGATGTGAGAGGGTGCGGGTGCCGTGCAGGGTGCGTTCAGGGTTGCAGTCATGATCACTGGATTTTTTCATCCCCAGTTTCCCACATTCATTTATATAAACCATTTCATTTTCTGGAGGCGAGAAGTAAATCTGAGGCAGGCTCCTGATGCAAGGGGGATTTTTACCCATCAAGTGTCTTTCTCCTTTGAGACCCCAGGCAAGAGGAAGCAAACTGACTAAAAGTGTGTCAGCTTGGTGCCAAGCACAAGGCACGTCTCGTCTCCCGACACGCTCTGCAGAAGGTCTTATCTCCTTCTTTGCGCAGAGGAGGAAGCGGAAGCTGAGAAAGTAGAGGGCCCAAGTCATCAAGGTCAGCGGTGCACACAGTCCCAAAACACGCTCTTTCTCCTGTGCCAGCCTCTACTTCCGTTGCGAGGGAAACGAAAGGCAAGAGAATTGCAGGTCTTGACTTTTGCAAAGAGTGGGTTTTATAACGATGGCTGTATACACACTAGCCAGTGCTTCAGGAGGTATGAGGATATAAAATAAAAAAGACTTCTAGGGCTTCCCTGGTGGCGCAGTGGTTGGGAGTCCGCCTGCCGATGCAGGGGACGCGGGTTCGTGCCCCGGTCCGGGAAGATCCCACATGCCGCGGAGCGGCTGGGCCCGTGAGCCGTGGCCACTGAACCTGCGCGTCCGGAGCCTGTGCTCCGCAACGGGAGAGGCCACAACAGTGAGAGGCCCGCGTACCGCAAAAAAAATAAATAAATAAAAATTAAAAAAAGACTTCTAGATCACTACTGAACTTTCTAGAATTTCTGATCTTATTAATATACCCTCCTTATCAGTACAGGCAGTACATCAGTTAGTAAGCCGCACTCTTGTAGGCATCAGGGATACAGGATAGAAGAAAAGCATCAAAAATCTCGATCTCCAAGGAGCTCTCTCTGTGCGGTACCAGCAATGCCTGCAGGAGGGCTGGGAGCCTCCATACCTTCCAGTAATCTGTTACCTGACACATGGCTAGTGTAATTTTAAAAATCAAGCATAAAATGCAAGTTTCTAAGCTGACTAGAGAAGACAGGTAGGTGCTGGTCATGAAGAAAAGTTTAGGGCTCTCCACAAATCTTCCTGCCCCTGGGGGGAAACCAAGGAAGGAGGAGTGGATTGAACTGGTCACCTTTTAAATAGGTGTGGGAGGGCCCTGGCCAGGTGCGCTCCCAGGAATCAGGGCCGCCGTGTTTGTATCTCCTGCAATGCAATACCCAGGGCGGGCGAGAGGCTGCCCTAAGAAGGCCTAGCCCAATCATTCCGGCCCCGGGGCGAGAGCTGTGGGTTGTGTCCTCTTCTGCCCTACCTCACATCAGCATGCTGAGATCTGAGACTCGTGTTTGGGTGTGGAAAATACACAGAACAGGGAATTTTAGCTTCTTGGGTTTTCAGTGCTTAAATTTAGCTTAGGTAAAGTTTTCTAAAAGATCCAGCTTACCTCACTAGCATTCTGCACAGTAGAATAAAGCGTAACTTTGCTTTACTTTACTCTTTGTACATAGGCTTCCCTGGGAGACCTCAAATGGCCCTCGACGCGCCAAAAAGGAAAATAATTTATTAAAATTTAACTGTCTGCCAGGCATTGTTCGAAACACTTAATGCAGATGATCCCATTTAACTCGATCCGCTCTGAAAGGTAATTTTAATTCTGTAGATCAGGCAACTGGCTTAGAGAGGCTAAGGAATCTTGCCAAGGGTTGCAGAACGATTAAGACCGATTCAGAAGGCCACACTCTACAACAATACTGCATTAGTCATGCTCTGTATATTCCAACAGTGGGCAGTCCATACATAAAAGGGAACTCTACACTCAGTCCAACCCAGAAAATTACAAAAGTACACCCTCACCGGTAACTCAAATTTAGTGTTTAAATACATACACGAAAAGAAAACGATGTTACACGTTCTCTAACTGTACTGTTACTTTTTCTTTTTCTTTTGACAGTCCAGAAATCATTTTTAAAATCAACATGAAATTAATGAATAAAACGCTGAAAATCAAACATTGTTCAAATATATGGGACAGCATGGCACAAATCTTCATGGAACAAAAACATTATGATGTTCCTTTGCTGACAATCCAGAACTGCAGAGCTCAATTCTCAAAAATCTACAAAGTGAGTCAACGCGTCAGAATTTGAAGCTGTTATTAAAGACAATCAGTGTGGCAGATATGATGGATCACTAAACTACTTACTGCCTACAGCACATGTGGATGTGATGAGGTATTTGAAGATAATAAAGAGAAAAGTTGCATTTAGACTTTCTTTTTAAAACTACACCACATATAAAGATTTCAAACTTACAAAATATTGTGTTGAATACAAGGTCATTTTCATTTTTATGAAAGAAAACGACGTGAACTTTGATATACTTTAATGAGCATTTCTGGTATACATACTATGTATCAGATACTGTGCTAAAACGTGGGGATAGGAAAATAAATGACTCATTCTTTGTTCTTGAATAGCCCACAGTAGAGTAAGAGAGACAAAATTGTTGCGGTCCAGGAGCCACACGTCTGGAGTCAAGTTCCCCGGTAAATGCGACCCGTGTCCCAACCAAGGACACCTGAGAATCACCAACACCAAGCAGAAAGATTAGCAAAGGATTTATACAAGTACAAGTATAGAAGCTTACACAAACTGTCCGGACAGGGTCCCACTCGGAGAGAAGTGAGTGAGACCCCGACTAACAGTCGGGGGAGGCTTTTATACCCTTCACAGGACAGGAAGTTCCCAAGGTGGGAGGGAGCTGTTTAATTTTGAATCAGCCAATCAGGAACCCGGTTCTTCCTGCCCCAAGCAAGTAAGCAAAGCAAGTTTTTTACAGAAGTCAAAATGTACTGTTAGCCCTGAAGCTGTTCTTCCGTTTCTTTCGTCACAAAATGATTGCACCATGTGGCAGAGCCAAGCTAGTTGCTCTCCTATGTCCAAGTGGGCTACTCCCCCAGGCCACTGCATCTAGACGGTGCACATGGCCAGTCTCACCAGTAGAGTGCTGACACAAAAGTGATGTCTGCCACTTCGAGGCCAGGCCCCACGCCTCCTGTGGCATCCTCCACACTCTCTTTGTTCATCAGTTAGCACAGTGCAGGGGATCTGCAGAAAACTCCAAAGCCAAAAGGAACAGTGGACAGGTGGTTGTATGGGTCAGAGCCCACACCTCCCACCCAGAAAGAGAACCCTTTGCTGGGATAAACCACTGTCCTTTGGGGGCTGTCTGTTAAGTTACTAGACCCTGACCAATAGACAGTATAATGTAAATGTAGTTTTCAAAATGAAAGCACAGCATAGGGAGCTCTAGGAACACAAGAATGAGACCCCTAAGTGATGGTGAGGGGGGAAGGGAGGGAGGGAATTCCTAGAGGAGAGGCAACTGGAGACTCATCCCAAAAGATAAGCAAGAATTACCTGGGGTGGGAGAAAATGTGACAGAATACTACATTGCATGTACAAATTTAAAGGGTACAGTGGAAT